CCCCAAAACCCCAAAACCCCAAAACCCCATCTATCGTGATAATTAAGAAATTAGAAGATATATTATTTTAATTTATTTTTGATTTTATTTATTGATTTTCATGGGGAATAATTGCAGCAGTAATGCAGATCGAGATTTGACAACAGAGATTTAAACTTAGACAATTGAAGTTAAAAATTAGAAAAGTCTCCTTTATTCTAGCAATTCTAAAACAATCAAAGTTAAAATCAATGGAAGCAATAACGGATCTCAAAACAATATCCCTGATGATGAAATAAGTGACGATGATATTGATGTTTCTCTACCACAAAGGGTATTTTTTGCAAAATTATCTTAATTACTTCATTTTAGGATTTGAATTCTAATACTTTTAGATAATCTTTAGATTTCTCAAGAGTAATAGATCCATCATATGATTAGGATTACATTAGAAGCATAAAATCAGGAAGTAAAAAACTTAAGAATAACAAAAGTGTGCTGATATTGGAGACTCCTGACGCCAAAAGAAAGTTATTTAATGATTCCTTCTCTAATTAAAGACTTTCATCTATAAAGAAAATGACAACCCCTTCAAAAAGTAAAGCAAGTACAGCAGTTTCAAGCTCAGTGAAAGCAAAATTGAAAAAAAATTTCTTGAATTTAAGAGACATTGATGAGATTAGAATTTTAGCAGATAGAAGGTAGAGCTCAGTGAGACAAAATAAAGGCTTAAATAAAGTTATAGCTAATATTAAGTCTAGATCTGATAGGAAAATGATGATTACCAAAGTTGAAATGCTTAAGAAGACATTTAAAAAGATTAGTGAAGAACCTACTGAGCAACCATAAAGATCAATTATAGTTGATCCTCAAATATTCGAATACCCTCTAACCTTGATGCAATATCTTAATGAGATCACTGTAGATGATTTCCTTTTTGAAGGAGACTTGATGAGATATATGCCTGGATTCTCTTTTCAGTATATGAAGAAGTATTGCATGGTTTCTAAATAAGAGTTCAAATATTACAAGAATGAACTCATGTCTTACAAGCATGTGTACCCTATTTTCAGTGTTCAACTTGAAGATATTATCAAAGTCGCAAGAGTCAACTGTGAAATCCCAATAGTCAAGCAAGAGGAAAAGTTCTACAACATGTATTAGTTTGAAATATTCGTGAGAAATAAAGACCAAAAAAATTAATCAATATTGATGCCTCCATGCTATATTGAGGAATAAAAAGTTAATATGAATATGATGTAGGAAAATGACTTTTCATGGATAAGTAAATTCTAGAGAAGTAATAGAAATAATGAGATATATGGGGGTAGAAGTGATAGACGATTTTTAGAATCGCCTGAGAGAAGAAGATTTAAGTCTATGCCTAGAAGCTTTTATAGCGACTCTGAATTCAAAGCTGAAGGTCATCTAATGCCTAAATTAATTGGTGGTAGAAGGCAAAGATTTAAATCTATGGAATGCACCAGATTAGATACTGTTGATGTTTTTTAAGAACAAGAGAAAACTTAAAGAAAGATAAAAATACAGGAAATACTAGGTAATAATAAAATGACTGAGACATAAAGACTTTAATTCAAAGAATTTGTAGATTTAATTTAGGACAATCTTAATGTACCCGTATAAAAAGAATAATATATGGCGAGAAACCCAGCTGGCTGGATTAAAAATATAGGGGGTTTCTAAGCTTGGTCAAATAGAGAGGCAGAATGGTATAATGCAGAGCAAAGATTATTATTCGGATGTCTTAGTGAAACAGAGTGTGACAGATGGGTTTTAATGCTGAATTTTATTATGTATTTAAATCAGTAATTATGAGTATTGAGATTTATTAAATTAATTTATTTTTATAAAATCATGTCATAGAGGGGTTTTGGGGTTTTGGGG